GTGTTTTTTTTAAACTTATAATGAGTCTTCAAGTGCTCTTCCAGAGAGTCCGCCATGTTAAAACATCATGTTTCTACAGTAGCCTAGAATTGACAAACCAAACACTGACTGTAGATATGGCCTTATGTGGCCTATAGCATTTTAATTTTATTCTCCCTGGAACAAGTTGCCTTCAATTTTTAAAAAATTCTGCAAAAACATCACATGCCTCGCAATTCTTTTTAGAAGAGCTGCTGTGAAATTCAAATATTCCCAAAAACAGTCAGCAAAATCCTGAAGGGACTGATTGGGTTCTGGACTTGTTAAAATCGTCTTTTAAGAAGTCAGAATAAAATACCAAAACTGAAACTGCTTCCCACCCATGAACATGAACAATTTGGAAAGCACAATCAAGCCAGAGGCAGATTGATTTCTGAGTCTGTATGGTGGCGGCTAAGAACTTTACCCCTGTGCTACACAATCAGTGCACACAACAGGATTTCAATGGTACTGGATCAGGGCTATGTGCAACCCAGATCCAGGCTGTCATTTTGCACTTGAAGGTACACAAGTCTAATTTATCCTTAAAGTGTCCAGCAAGCATCGTAAACTCACAGCCCAGTTAATATTGTTCCAGTTCCTCCAAGGGTCCAAACATAATGTGAGTCAGGAAGCATCCATTTAATTAAAAACATTGTGTTGATTCAGTTTTAAACGGCACAGGAGGGAAGAGAGAGCAGGAAAGAAAAGGACTGCTAATATTAGACAAGATGACCGGAGAGAAGAGTGAAATCTCCACTGAGAGGTGGAAAGCTTTCTGACTTTCAACTATTATCTCCTCCCATTTAAACCTTTATACAGTAACATGTTTCCTGCCCCCCCCAACAAGTATTCTCATTTTGTGCAATTCTGCATCTCATGATTTATGTCCAATCCCAACGTTCAGTGCCGATGCAGGAAGTAGTGCGACTGTTGTGACTTGCTTTCAATAATTAATCACTATACACTGTTGAGTTCTAACACGCAGGTACTCACATCTGTTGAACTTGATGTGTCTTTTGTGGTTTCTTGTTGTTTCGAGCAAACAAAATTCAAACACAGTGATAAATAAAACAGGCTTTAAAAACCAAACCAGCAAAAACTCAAATAAAATATTTATGTCTCTAAACACTACTTCATTTACTTTTGTTTCTTTATATTCCGTTCCTTTTGGTTGCAGTTGCTTGCTGTTGAGAACTAATACTCAACTGCGTTCTACAGCTACCACCTGCACCTGATCCTGTGATTGGCAGGGCGGCGCCAGCTGTTGAAAGGCTCATTCTCAGTGAGTCCGTCCAGCTCAACGCACCAAACTCAGATCAAACTGTCAAACAGTGCTGATCAGATATGGATCTAGATTCTGTTGTTGACTATTTCTCTCCTCAAATCTGTTCACAAACACATTTTAACTGTTTATCTGGAGCATCAGATCCTGTGTGAGCAGGTGAGCCGCCATTGGTTCCTGCTACAGACGAGTCGAAACTGTGCAGCCAATAAGAGTAGCTCAACTTGCAGTACGTCGCCTCTGCCGGCTCCATGGTGACGACCGTAATGCCAAACTCAAGGCTTCAAAGCGGTTCTCCACAAAACCAATGGGTGACATCACCATAGGTTCCCATTTGGTTCTAAAACGATTTTCTGAAGAAAAACAGAGCAAGGTCCTCACATTGATAGCAATACAAGCCCACACACACTTTCGAACAACAAACCCTTGCACAGCCTCGATAAGAGAGCAACAAGGCTACTGCTATTACAAAGATGGCTGAGATAAGCATCCTTCTTTTCCCTGAAGGACACAACCAGTGATCCTTTTGTGTTCTTCAGTCGCCTGCTCTCTTACACTGCTGCTACGTTGAACCTTGAATCTCTACGCAACCCTGCCTGATATCAACACCTCTACATGCAGATAAATGAGCCTCTAAAACAGAAACGCTCATGAGAAGGAGGCTGTATTCTCTAGAAAGGAATGTGAAAGCAATTATTATGGTCAGATTGGACTGTGCCTCCAATTGTTCCTCTCGTCTGTCCTTGTGTTCGGCTCCAGGCTCAGACACCACTTGATGATTTGATCTTGAACAAATTCCCCGGGTCGGATCCCAAATATCATTTCATTACTGTGCTGAAGAGAATCTGAGGAAAACTCTGTACAAACACAATGTACAATCCGTCTGCACCATAATTCTGCCTCTATCATCAATTGTCTGTCTCCTACCCGGTTTCCTTTTTCTCCTCTCGCTCTACAAAGTCCATCTCAGAGATTCTGAAACTCATTATCGCAGCAAATTGCTCGGAGTCAGTCAGAAGCGTCGCAATCCTCTCTTGTTTTATTTCGCTGCGAGTGAGTTTCTGATGCAGTTACTTTGTCTCATTTGTGAGGCTGATTGGAGCGGCAGAACGAGCGCTTTACATTAGAGGAAGATAACAAGTGGCATTTCTAACACAGAGGGGTTTCACGATAACACACACACCCCCCGTAGAGACTGGAAGGTGAACACACTCACCATGTATGGGCTTATAGAAACAGATTAAAAATAACACCACAACTTGCAGATTTTTATTTGTATTTAATTTGTTTTTTATGCAGAGCAGCTGAAGCCGGAGGGTTGGACTCAGGTGGAAGGAGGAAATGAGAAACACCTTCCCTTCGTTTACCATCAGAGTGACGGGAAAGGAAAGGAGAGGGAATAAAAGAGAAGAAAGTAAAGGAGAGGAGAAGAAACAGCAAATAGGAATGCAAAGGAAAAGAAAGGAAATAAGGTTAAAGGAGAGGAATGAAAAGAAAGGCATGAGAGAGAGAGAGAGAGAGAGAGAGAGAGAGATGAAAGGAGAACAACAAAGGAAAAGAAAGGGAAGTAAACAAAAGAAGGTGAGTGGTTTGACTCAGGTGGATTTTTATGGTTCTTGGTGTTGATTCAGTTAGAGGAGAATCAGATGGATTGTGGGTAATTATCAATGAGAGAAAGCAGCTGCAGAGAATCCATCCTCGATCGATAACAGAGGCTAGGAGAGGAAGCAAGGAGAGGAAGCAAGGAGAGAAAAAAGAAAAGCGAGGAAAGGTAACAAAAGAAGAGGCAGGAATGAAACAAAGAAAAGGAAACAAGGAGACAGAGAAAAGGAGAAGAAAGGAAATAAAGATCATTTATATTTTGCCTGAACAGAGAACGTACCTGCACAGGTGTGACGGTTCATCCCTCAGCAGCAGACAGCCGCTCCACGCCGCTCTAGGTTTCTGTTGGCTGTGAAATAAACCAGAGCTCAGGATCCTTCTCAGTGTCAGTGACATAATGGAGAGGAGGCTCTCTCAATCTATTCCACTGAATATTGATATGAATGGAAGGAAGACAAGAAACACAAGTGTGAATGAGACGGGATTAAGCTCTGTGACAATATTATTAATAGTCACGCTTTCCGAAGCCTCTGCACACAGAGTATGGTGTATGGTGGAGTATGATGCAGTATGGTTAAGGTTCAGGAGAGATATGGGAACGAAAAATAACGACTTCCGTCTGAAGCTGCTGAGGAACTGAGAGCCAAAATGATCTCTGAGCAGTGGAGGAGGAAGTGTTCAGATCCTCGCAGTAGAGCTCCAGCATCTCAGAGCAGAACAATGGCGGCAACGACTGGAACCAGTAATTCTACTCAAGTAAACGAATGAAAGTATAATTACGAAAATACTACTCAAAGTATTCAAAGTAAACTAAACACTAATGAAAACATACGTCTGAATATTATATTCCATTTCTGATGATCCACAGAGGCCTCCTCCTCTCCACAACAAACAGACCCGCTGATTAAAACCACTAAACACACTGAATAAAGCAGTTCCACCTTAAACACACTGAATAAAGCAGTTCCACCTTAAACACACTGAATAAAGCAGTTCCACCTTAACAATCACTGCTTCTCCCACGCTGTTGGACAGACAAAGGACGTCCCGGAGGGGCTGCGAGCCGAGCTGCTGCTAACGTTAGCTCAGCTTGTTTCTCTGATAACTTAAGATCCAGACGTCCGATGACTAAAATCCTTCATCCGGTTCAAATCTAGAGTTAAAAAGCACCAAGATCTAAACAGTGGATGGTAACAATGTGGCTTCAGACTGGATCAACAGTCAATGTATGACAGCTTCTGGCAGACAACCACAACGCTGACGCAGGCACAAAGGGGATATGACGCCATCGACAGGCGACCGGTGAAACGCAGCGTTACCTGAATAAAATGAGTTTGAACGTTGTTGGAAACATTAAGGATAATATATGTTGCAGCAGAGACACAGGCTCAGACTGTTTGTAGTGCTTGTTATGTCTGTATAAACGAAGCAGCGTATTTTCTCTGTGAATCCACATGCAATCGTCTTCCTGCCGCTGCTACAACCACAGACAACAGAGGAAGAGTAGCTCTTCAACTATAACTATACAATACCACATTCAGTTTATATTGCATTGTGGGTAATATTTATCAAAAGGGAATATTTTAGTATACTTATATTACAATATTAGAAACTAAAGATTATATATAATTATATAGTTATAATGGTAATACTATGTTTTAGCACTTGTTAGAATTAGCAGTAATATATCAATATTAATATAAATACAGCAGAAATACACCAAATTACAAAATACAGTATTATATTAATATTCTATAGACTGTAAACTGAAATAGAGCAACTTGCTGCCTGTAACTTACAGTGAATACAGAAGGAAATGGTTTACAGTGGGTCCCTGAATGTGGTGCTTCTGCAGAGTCTGCAGCTGAAATAAAAGCCCCTCTGCTGCCTCCAGAACAGATTTCACTGCGCAGTTTCTCCCCTCCCGACTGCACAGTGCACAGACCACCAGCGCTGTGCACACACACACACACACACACACACACACACGCACACACCCTCTCCGTGCAGAGCTGTGGACTCTACAGACACAACCACCGTCTCCGGACGCAGACACAGCACCGACAGCCCGGACAGGTGAGTGCAGCTCTCCCCTCTCTCCCTCCGAACCGCAGCGGGTGTTTTTATTTGGTTTGGGGGATTTTCTCGTGCAGTCGGTTGAATGTTACAGATGTTTGTGAGAGGCAGCAGGGACCAGATGTTACCGAGGCAGGGACACGGCGGACGGCGGCTGACAGGCTGCTTCACATTGGATCAGAGCTTTAGAGAGGTAACTTCTGCTTTACCTGTGTACGAACATAGAACAGAACATCCATTTACTGTAACTTCAGCTCTCTGAGAGACAGCACTGAGTGCAGAGGATTACATTTGTTCATTGTTCTTCAATTGGTCGTGACTGGAGGTATATTGGATGATGAAAGTTCCCTCATCAATGGTGTTTTTATTATAGAACTTAATATTATTATTATTATCAGATCAGTCTTGTTAGTTTGTTTTTGGCTGAAAATGAAACTTTGATAAATAAATCCTGGTTCGTACGGAGAGCAATTAGTGTCAAAAATTGAGCTACAATGTTCCACATATGAAAACAAGATTTACAGATATGTGTGATGATGAATTAAGAATATATTATAGGTGCTGAAACAATGAATGAATTTATTAATCAACAGAAAATTAAACAGTTATGTTTATCTGAATATTGATTTTTGAATTAAAATTGCTGTGTTCATGTTCATGTCTTTTATATGAACATAAACTTAATATATTTTAGTTTTGAACTGTTGGTTTGACATGTAAGATGTCACAGTTAACAGTTTTCACTACCTTATTTTTGCTTTAGATAATTAAAGATCCCCTTCAGACTCATATCAAGACATAAATACAAATAGTTTGCTTGGAACAATAATGTGTGTTACCAAAAAAGATATTTCCACATTCAAATCCTTAAAAAGTCACCAGCTCCTTCTACCTCATTAAAAATGACAGAATCCATGTAAATATGCAAATGTTGTTCATTTCGAAAGTTTTCGTGCTGGACACAAGATGTCTCCTCCTTCAGTGTAAAGTCCGTTCTCAGTGTCTGTGCACAGGTGGGTCTCACTGTAGAAGTTACATACTGGACCAGGACTGATGTCACAGGCCCCGCCCCCTTAAAATCAGATGTTCAGTGAGCTCAGAGAAACTTTCCACTTTCAGCAGATGAATGTAAGAACATCCTTCTAGAGTCAAACTCTGCAGACATCATTCAACCAGCACACTGTAGGGACAGGAAGAAGCACTGGTTTCAGACTGGAGGGGGTTCAAAAGTACCAACAGATTAATCAATAATGATAATCCCTCATAAATGATGGTGTTCACAATGTGGTTTCCTATACACAAACAATTACCATCTAATTTTACAAATATTTGTAATATACACAAAAAAGAATTATCAAAAACAAATCCAAAAAAACTTAAATCAGATTTTACCCCAAAATCAAAAATACATGTTTGTCGTACCTGTAGAGTTATTCATCCATATACATTGTCTGCTGTGAGTTTTCTGTTTTCTCTCCACTGTAACCGAAGCTGCTGACACTCTGCTAAGAGTACAGCAATGTCTTTTTACAGAACACAGGATATTCCACAGACCTTGTTGTGAGCAGTTTCACGTAGGAACTATTTTCTTTCTACGTATCATCGCGCAGAAGGAAGTGTGCATTCGCTCATGGACCGTAAGCTCGTGCTTGTGACAGCGCTGGATGTAAACATTAGCTGTAACATTAGATCACCTAGCAGCACTGAGATAGCCACCGAAGAGACTGGTTGCTGTTGAGTTTGTCAAATGTGTTTTTGGGCTCTTTGAGCTCCACAAGCTGAATGGTGGTTGGGGTGAACTGTACCTTTAAAGTTTATGTTCAATACTAACATTTATTCAAGAAGATGCGTTGATGAACACCACATCCATAAATCATTTTTATTTTCTGGCTCATGTGACACACATTTGTCACTAATATTGACCCTAATTTCTCTCCATAGACATTGACATTGTGCAGTGTATCACTCAGTGTTGGTCAGTATGGGTTTATAGGACTGTATGAGGTCAATTTTAGTGAATTTAAGAACAAAACTGAAATAAATAAAAACCATAAAATGGTTTGTTTTGTATCTGAGGGCAGATTTTCTTCCCATCAGCAGGTTTGAGGTGACAGCAGATTATATTGATAATCATTTGGAGAAGCAATGACTCGTATACACAGATGTATGCTTTGTGTTGTGCTGCAGGACTTGAAATGTAGTTTCAGACACAATAAGGCCTTCTTCATTTATGGTTGGGTTGAATATTGTTGCTGCTGCTTTAGAAATGATTAGTTTATCAGCACATTATTTGTGTCAGCCTGCTGGGATTTACAGGAGCCTTTAACGTTGTTATCTGCAGAACATTTATGGAGAATCATGCAAAAGTGTTGATGCAACAATAAAAAGGAACTTTATCTTTTGTCAGAGGGTATTAAAGTCATTTTGTAGAAGGACTTGATTTGTTCCACGGACCACTGTTTTCCTCCTGCTGCTGTAGAGGTTTTAATGAGCTCTAATAATGAATGCTAGGGTTTATTTTGCTGGCAGCTTCTGTGAACAGATCAATACCACAGAGCCTGTGTGAGTGTGTGTGTGTGTGTGAGTGTGAGTGTGTGTGTGTGTGTGTGTGTGTGTGTGTGTGTGTGTGTGTGTGTGTCTGAGAAACAAACAGATGTTGTCACACCTTTCATATCGTCCAAAGAGAGAGATGTGGAAAATAACTTCACATTCATTCAGCCGCACTGTGAACCTATGGTAACGTCACCCATTGGTTTGTGGAGAAGCGTTTTGAGCGTTTTGCTCATCGCCATGTTGTTTTTTACTGCGAGTTGAGCTACTCTCATTGGCTGCAATTGGTTTGGAAACAATGGCTGCTCACCTGCTCACACAGGATCTGGTGTTCCAGATAAACAGTAAAATGTGTCTGTGAACAGATTTGAGGAGAGAAATAGTCAACAACAGAATCTGGATCCATATCTGATCAGCACTGTTTGACAGTTTGATCTGAGTTTGGTGCGTTGAGCTGGACGGACTCACTGAGAATGAGCTGTCAATCACAAGGTAGCCCCGCCCTAAAGCATACCCTGCTTTATGGTCTGTTTTACTCTAAATGGGACCATCAGTTACTAAATGAACATCATGCTGTATGGAAGAAGACTGAAACTAGAGACTGAGACCAGAAACTCATCAGGAAACTGTTTACTGAGCTCATCACCACCTGTCATGTTTCAGGTGTGTTCTTTTGAATGAACTAAGTTATTCAAAGGTCCAGTGTAGGATGATCTATAATCAGAAATGTAATATAATATTCAAAGGTATGTTTTCATTAGTGTATAATCACCTGAAAGAAGAATGTTTTCGTTACCTTAGAATGAGACGTTTTTATCTACAGATTCCGCTTTAATGGAGTCCGCCATGTTTCTACAGTAACCAAACACTGGCTCTATAAAGGCATTTCACTGTCACCGTATTCTCAACCATGTGCTTAAATCTGTTTGTTTAACTCTGTTGAACAAACCATGTAAGGAAGAAACTGTTTCTAAATGACCTCAAACATGGCTTCGACATTTCTCTTTTCCAATTCGCTAATATCGACTGATCTCCACAATCTGTTCTTCATGTGAAGGTTAAACGTACCCTCAGTTGGTAATCTATCTCATATGCTCTAACAATGTAAACTCGATCACACACTGCAGTTGCTATTTTACAGTCCAGGGTGTGTGTGGTAAATCAAACACACTGATGTGTGAGAGGGTTTTTTTTTTTGGTGACCAATTTTAGATATGAAAATCAGTATGAGTGATTATTAGGCCAAATTCAATGGGACTTGTGAAGCACTTACTGTCACAGAACAGACAGACCGAATGTAACGAGGCCGCCAGGCGCCATCACCGCCTCCGACAATCAGCCACTTCTGGGGGCGAATCCATCATCTTGTCAAGATGCAGGTTAATGCTTGTTTCTATGGAAGCCCTTTCTGCCAAAAAAAACCTACCCATTTTGTTTTGACTTATCATTCAAATAAATATTGTAATTTGACACTGTATCTCACACTTTTTACTTACTAGCTCATAATTTCTACTTTGTGTCTATTATTATGGACATTTTAATCATCGACACACAGTCAAATTTATTTAACTACCCACCCAAACCACATTCTGGTGTTGCTCTATATTTTCTATTGTCAATTAATGTCAGCCAAAAATACTGAAGTCAATTTTCAATCCCAAGTCCCCAAGAAGAGCGGCAGGTTTTGAAGCCAATTTGACATAGTGGCCAAACTGTGTAATTACAGCGACATTGTCTGTCACATGATGTACACTGGCCCAAAAATACTTTTTCCCATAAGCTTACATTGTGAAAGAAGTGTAGGAGACTGTACAACACACTTAATTCTTTAAAAACACCCCACGGATACATAGAGTCAATTTTAAACTGACAGGAGGAAATGGTGCATTTGTTGGGGACTGTGTTCACTGGTGGATTAATCCACATTTGGTGCTGTAGTGAGTATTTGTTCTCGTTCTAATCAGACTATTTGTCTTTCCCGGCTGGTTTATTTGCTTCCACATTTGGCAAAAAAAACACAACTACTGCTGATAAAGAAGCTAAAGGAGTTTTCACATGGGAAAAAGGCTGAAGTGATATTGATACAGGATGATAACTCCTGCCATACTATTGTGTTTATTGGTTTATGGTGGCTGTAGTAAAGACATGGATCAGTATTAAACACAGAGATTCAAAACAAACAAATGTAAAGATGTGTGATAAAGCCTGAAGAGTGACAGTGTGTTCATGAGCAGGTTTGTGCATTTGGCTTCAAACGAACATATTCAATTTCGAGTGGCAACCTGTTGGCAGCACATTTCATATTTCCTCTTTCATGAAATGTTCCAGACCTGTTGAAGGGAGTCATTTACAGATCCTTTCTTTCTCCACAGGGGAAAAATATCCCTTTTACATTTAGTCACTTTATGTTTCTTGGGAGGATCAGATCAGATCCCAAATGAATGCATCCAAGAAGGGTTCGACACAGATTGAAATCAGATTGTTCAAACTCCTCCTCCATTAGTCTGTATAATAGGACAATCTGTGGAAGTGTTCAACCAAACAAACAGATCAGTGGCCACTCTGTGCAAATTCTGCTTCATCGGGATCCATGTAGTCCAATCACATTTGTAAAGTCACATGATGATATTATTCTAAAAGGAAGTGAGCCGGTGTGTGTACCAGATCTGCGTTTACAGGTGATCCAAGTGCAGCCTGGGCACAGAGCATCAGGAATAAAACAACAACCAAATCAAATATGATTAACATTAAAAAATGGATCCACGCAGACGGCGAGATGAGTAAACTCATCTCAGTAAATTTGTTATTCATGTCCTTGTTCCATTGTTTCACCATAACATGATTTAAAATGATGATGAAATGATAATAATAATTACTTAATATATATAGCGCCTTATAAAAATAGAGTTTACAAAGTGCTTTGACAGACAAAGCTAAATGATTGTTGAGATACACAAAATGTAATTAAATATAAAAATAAAGAATACCAAAAGACAACAAAAAGGAAGTAATGAGCAGGCCGTCTCGCTTTCTTTGCATCATTGTTGAACGTTGCACATGTACGGACAGTAATGTGTTCAATCTTTACATCATCTGTTCTGCCTCAACTCTCTGGGATTTATTGAGTTTACAGATGGACTTATTCTTGTCTCGTGTGTCCGATAAACAGCAAATGTACCTAATTCAGAGCTCCATATCACTATCTAGCTACTGAAGCTGTCATGCCGTCGAGAGCATCGGTAAGACTCAGCAGGCTTCTACAAAGATGGCCAATCAGAAGAGAGCCCAGCAGAATAGGTCCTCTTTAATACCTCCAGTGGTTCAGTTTCTGTTTCAGATCATATTGGCAGTGAGTATTTTGGGTTATGAAAGCTTTTACAGTTCAGTAGCTGCCTCAGGGTCTTTCTGCTGGTCTCTGCCCAGGTGGACGTCCTCCATTATAACACCTGATAGTGTGACAGGAACAGGTGGCATCCGTCAAGTTGGAACGAGTCAGTTACAGCAGGTTGGTGCAGGAAAGAGGGATCGGTGAAACATTAGATGAAATCAGGAAACAGTCAGAGAGGTTTTGTCTTGTCTCTCAGCTCTGTAGATAAAATCCAGGTCTGTAATAATTCTGCAAATCCTCATTCATCTTTATGAAGAGGATAATTGGATATGGGTCTACAGAGAGTGGACATCTAATTACAATTTGAGCCAGCCGTCATTTCAATGTACCTACTCACCTTTCTAAGAGGACATTTAACTCCAGCTGAACATCACAAGCCAAGAGGTGAATAGTTATAATAAACATCATTTTAATGAGAATGCCACTAATGGTTTCCACTCAGTCCTCAGTGGCATTCTGCTAACTGGAGCTATGAGGTTGTCAAAGAGTAATGATTTCACTACACTGAGTCAATGAGACGGCATTTCATTTGGATGAGAGAGTAAAAGACAGACAGGAAACATGGATTCAATAAAAGCACCCCGAGGGAAGGTTTATTCTCA